CCCCCCCCTGGCGCCGCCACTGTGCAGAACCTCCCTGAAAACCACGTATGTGATGGAAGCTGTTAAAATATTACTTTACAGGTAAACTACGTGAAGCGTTCCTCTTTTGAGTTTCTAAATTGATTGCAATTTTCCTCATTACATTCACAATTTAAAAAGCTCCCTTGCAAATTCCTTGAGGGAATTTGCAATGTTGCTAAAAGCCAAAAAATTTTCCTCAGTTCCTGTTAGAAGTTCTTAACTTCCTGTTACAAGTTCCTAACTTCCTGTTCTGTTCTGCGTGCTGCAATTGGCTAACAAAAATAATCGACCAATAACAACTCTCAGAACAGAACAGGAAGTTAGGAAATTTAAACAGGAAGTTAGGAAAATTTAAAATGAAGTTTGGAATATTGCAACAGCCGATAGGAACATTGCAAATTCCCTCAAGGGATTTGCAAAAAGTTTTTCAAATTTGCAAAGCTAATGAGGAAAATTCCAAATGAGTTACGAAGTCAAAAGAGGAACGCTTCACGTAGTTTACCTGTAATAATAATAATAATAAAGTTATTGACTAGCATTGCCTGTTGACGAAGAATCACGATTTATATACGAGACTGTGTCTACAATAATCATTAAGATATCGAAAGTGATTAACACTAAAGAATAATGGAAGCTAACGAACGTCAAATAATAAGTCAACTGACAATCGGGGTCATTGAATGACAAGGCTATGATCGAGGCATACTTTGTATCAATTATATTGGGGTAGGTTTTCTCTTGACTTTCTAAATAAATCTTCAACATAAATCGGAGGGTTTAAACTGCAGGTTGCAGGTGTGCAGGTGCAGGTGTGCAGGTTGCAGGTGTGATATTCTAGTACAAGATCAAAACTTGACATTCATGAAAAAGTGTGAAGCACACATAAAATTTTATCTTAGCTAAGTTTGAATTCTCTTTTATAATTGATTTTGTCACTCTTTGTGAGAAACGTCCGCCATATTTAATTCTTATCTCAAAAACACCTGATATCCCATATTATCAATAGTTTTCCCCATACCGCCAAAACATGTAATCACAGAGTAGGTACTATGTACCTACTATGTACCTATTATGTACCTACTATGTACCGACTATGTACCTACTATGTACCTACTATGTACCTACTATGTACCTATTATGTACCTACTATGTACCGACTATGTACCTACTATGTACCTACTATGTACCTACTGTATATCAGTGGTACCTACTCTGTGATCACATGTTTTGGTGGTATGGGGAAAACTATTGATAATAGGGGATATCAGGTGTTTTTGACCTAAGAATTTAAAATGGCGGACGTTTCTCGCAAAGAGTGACAAAATCAATTATAAAAGAGAATTCAAACTTAGCTAAGATAAAATTTTATGCGTGTTTCACACTTTTTTATGAATGTTAAGTTTTGATCTTGTACTAGAATATCACACCTGCAACCTGCAACCTGCACCCATTGACCTGCACACCTGCAACCTGCACCTGCACACCGGCAACCTGCAGTTTAAACCCTCCGCAACATAAATCGATGTTTGATAATTTGTTGACTAACGGACGTCTTTACATGATGCAAATGTATAACTTGTCTTGATTATATTCGGCTAGAAAATGTTTATTATTTATACAATACGGTCCATTACGTCCATACATAACGGAAATGCCTGTGTCAGTGCTTTTCCCTAGAAGACTTTAGACAACAGTAAAGGTCAAACGAATGTTCATCACTGTTCTAGGTCCAATAATATGTAAAATTTTGCTGTTTCAAAGCAGAGTTTACAGTAAACATGAACGTTCTTATTTGCTCCAAACTGCCGAAAGTCGAAAATGTTGATGTTTTGTTGGCCTGTAGTATCTCCAAAATTTACAGGCCGCAATATTTTATTTTATATTATGTAAGACCAACCTTTAATCTCACCATACAAATAATATTACATTCATAGCAAGTCTAACTTTTGAATTGTAGGGTTTTTATTTCACCCATTTTTAAGGAACTTGGAAATTTCTATTTTAGTCTATCATGAATGATGTCATTTCTATATTTAGAAAACAAATTTGAAAAATTTATAGATACCTTGTTACTTAAGACATATAAAGCTACTATTGTCTGGAAAGATTTAGTTTTATAATTATTTTTGTTTGATGTACAGAGGTTTAAAAATCAGCAAAAATCCACTATTGAGAAACAGCAAAAATCGTAATTTTAGCCCTCAACTTGACCCCCCTGGAACTTTGCCAAAATGCAATTAGACTGAAAACAAAATGCATTTTGAAACAACCCTTATAAAGGCAATCTCAACTACAAAGTTTGAGAGAAATCTATTTGTTGATCCAAAGAGGTCATGAGGTTCTTACAGAGACTGCCTCTTAATAATCCTTTCTTGGCTAAAATTCGCGAAATTTCAATATATTCAAAAAACCTTCAATCGAATATCCCTGTACAATATTTCGTGTTATTTGAAAGTCAGTATCAGAATTTCTGATTCTTTGCAGTTTGGACGTCTGCATGGTTTCTGCAGTTTTCAGTGTATTTGTGATTTAGAAGCATTTGAAAGTATCGGAATTTCTGATACTTTCGGGACGTCTGCATGATCTCTGCAGTTTTCTGTGTATTTGTGATTTAGAAGCATTTGAAAGTATCAATTAGGCGGTTTGCAGTGCTTTTGTAGCAATACAAAGGATTTAATCAATTTTAAAGGCACAAAATAGCACAATTAACAAAGATGATTGCTAGCTAAAAAAACCATAGGCTATTATACAGTTTAAAATTAAATATTTGTTATGAGTTTACAACATATCCCTTCCATTGATATAAATAATTAATTATTCACAGCGTTTGGCGCAAAAAGTTACTAAATCCCATCGCTCAAAAACTTTCGGAAGTTTTCGGAAACACGAGGAAAAAGTTAAAAACAGATTTTTAATTAACCAATTGATAATTCACTCAAAAATTCAAGAAATAGTGGAACTTTCGTCTGCTCTAATGCACTGGGATGAATATTTAAGTTGTTCGGAAAAAATCCTTAGATTTCCTTAGATTTTTTCTCTTCCTTAGATTTTCCTTTTCGACACTAGAATTTCCTTAGAAAAGGAAGCTTCCTTGAAAATGGAAGCACTGACCCAATGGAGTGTTGCAACTGGTTTCGTGTTTTTGAAATCGTAAGATATTGTCGCATGTATTGCAGGCTGTTTTTGTAAATAAGGCTGTTTTTGTCGGAAAAATATAATTTTGGAAAATGCAAAGATAGTTTGCAACGCATACATCACCCAAAATAACTTTGAATTAAATCGTATTTCTGTGCTGTTGCTTGTTTAAATTGGTAAAAAACAGTGTACGCAGTAGTATTTCCCAATGAAAACTGCGTTATTTCTAAAAGAGCGATCGATTTGATATAGATATGATGCAGCTACAGCTGCAGAGCGCAATCATGGCGGTAATCCAGAGGCGTAGCCAGGATTTTTGGTCAGGGGGGGCAGCAAAAACCCACGTGGGGCCAAAAAAATTTCCGGACCACAACATTTTAAATCTCTCCGACCCC